CACTTCCTAGTCACAGATGAAATTCTGTGAGTTGGTTTAAACAGTTTACAAAGTAAGAAAAACAATCATTGCTTATTGTTACCACTTCCTAGTCACAGATGAAATTCTGTGAGTTGGTTTAAACAGTTTACAGAGTAAGAAAAAACAATCAGTGTTTATTGTTACCACTTCCTAGATGAAATTCTGTGAGTTGGTTTAAACAGTTTACAGAGTAATGACAACAATCAGAGTTTATTTTTACCACTTTCTAGCCACAGATGAAATTCGGTGAGTTGGTTTAAACAGTTTACAGAGTAAGAAAAAACAATCAGTGCTTATTGTTACCACTTCCTAGATGAAATTCCGCGAGTTGGTTTAAACAGTTTACAGAGTAATGACAACAATCAGTGCTTATTGTTACCACTTCCTAGATGAAGTTCCGCGAGTTGGTTTAAACAGTTTACAGAGTAAGGACAACAATCAGTGCTTATTGTTACCACTTCCTAGATGAAGTTCCGCGAGTTGGTTTAAACAGTTTACAGAGTAAGGACAACAATCAGTGCTTATTGTTACCACTTCCTAGATGAAATTCCGCGAGTTGGTTTAAACAGTTTACAGAGTAATGACAACAATCAGTGCTTATTGTTACCACTTTCTAGCCATAGATAAAATTCAGAGTGTTCTTGCTAATACAGATGAATTATAGTAAGCTGTCTTTACCAGTTAAACGATATCCAACAATTCCTCATCATTACTGCAAACTACAGACGAAACTTGAGTTATTATTACAGTCGTTCAAATTACAGACGGAACTTGAGTTATTATTCCTATCGTTCAAATACAGACGAAACTTGAGTTATTATTACAGTCGTTCAAATACAGACGGAACTTGCGATATTATTACAGTCGTTCAAATTACAGACGGAACTTGCGATATTATTACAGTCGTTCAAACTACAGACGAAACTTGCGTTATTATTAGAGTCGTTCAAACTACAGACGAAACTTGCGTTATTATTACAGTCGTTCAAACTACAGACGAAACTTGAGTTATTATTACAGTCGTTCAAATACAGACGAAACTTGAGTTATTATTACAGTCGTTCAAATACAGACGAAACTTGCGATATTGTTACAGTCGTTCAAACTACAGACGAAACTTGCGTTATTAAAACAGTCGTTCAAACTACAGACGAAACTCATTTAATTGTTACTGTTTCTGAGAACTTATAAACACTAATGAACTGCAAATAAAATAGGGTAGTCTTTATAATCGTTTATTTCAAATTTAGACGAGATTGAATAAGTAATGGTTGGAGACGGCTTGAATGGGTAATGAAGAAAAACTTTAATATAAGTTTAACGTAACAGCAAATGTACAACGTTTCGACA